CTTGAAAGGAAAATATAATATTCTTTTATATTTGGTTTATTCTCTCCTTTTAGGACTCTTTTTCTAGTAAGCAAAGGTTTTAGGACTCTATAAATATAGGTTTGTTTTTTCTAACACAATAACAAGAGAATCCACAATGTAGTCAGTTAAGAGTCTTGTTTATGGGGAGATTTTCTCCTAAACATATTTATGTTTTTTTTTTCAATATTATATTAGTTTTATAATATGTAGGTCGTTTGACCAAACCATATTAATAATATATCTTTAGTATGTTTTTATTTGTCGTCTGATTTGTCAACTATATGATTTGCAAATTGTAAGCTTCCGCATGACGCCCTAATCAACCTTCATAACCCAACAAGTCTTCATTATCATGTAAGCTTCCATAGTTTTGTGTTGTAGCTGTCCAGTAAATCTGTAATACGTGCTTTTGTGTTACGTCTTTTTAAAAATAAAAATTAAAAATGAAGGCTCTCCAAAATGGTAGAGTTAATTAAAATCGTGTATGACATAATATACGATACTATACTCAGTGTAATCTCACAAGTAATGTTTGAGAAAGATGGAATGTATGCAAATCTTACCTCTGTCTTTGTGGGATGGAGAGTTTATAGCATAACTTACCATACGTATAAACTGTATGAAAATATCACTTTTTAGAAAATCAAAATATTAAATTTTGATCATAATAATTACGTATAGATTATGACAACGGCATAAAATGTATTATCAATTACAATAATTGCCAACTCAAAAATATTTAATAGGTAAAAACATTGCTGTAAGAAAACCTCATTTGACTATTGAAATTTCAATTTTGTCATATAAATTGAGATGGAGGAAGTAAAATGGATGTTTTCTTAATATTTAACTTTCAATAATATTTATTTTTCCTAATTTATGTGGCACAATTCGTACTTTTAGTCTTGTGAGTCAATTTTAAAATTTGATCATAAATTTGGACATCAATTTTTTGAAGTTTTTAAAAACAAATTTACATAGTTGGCAACTATGTAAAACATATTACTAATAGTCATAATTATTGATAATTTAAAATATCTAATAGACATATTAAAAAATTCTTTTGCCGACATTCAAAATGTGTTATATAAACTGCGGGTAAAATAATAATAGCTGAATAATTCAACTAAATTATTTTGCAAATATTCCGCAGTACTAAGAGTAATCAGCAGAGATATTTCTCAATCCTATGTTACGAATACTTACTACCAATATATACCTTGGGTGTAGACATAACATGAATATGAATAAGTCGGACCTCAATAATATATAGAGCGGTTACAATAATTGTCTGCTCCGTTACTTTTTAGCCAACCTTTTGACATTCGCATTCACTTAACTGAAAAAATTGACATTGTAAGATATCGAATGGCTAAAATGGTGACTCAATTTCTTCGGCTACTACAAACATTAATTCCTATGAATAAGGTTGTAACGTCCATCAATTTTTTGTTTTCCATTTTCATGGAAAGCTATAGAGACATTTGCGTTTCACCATTCCAAAACCCATACTGAATCATCCATCCCCAGCCGTCACCACTATCGCCACCTCCTGACCTCCGTTTCCGATTTTGGCCAATTTCATCATTTCCCTAAACCCCCCATAGAAAGAAAAAATAAAAAGATTGCACCTTTATTATTTTCTTTGATTTATCAATATTCATTTTTTTGTTTTGAGAAAAAATTTAATTGTCCGCTATTACGATGGCGGACATAGTGAAACAAATTCTAGCACGGCCAATACAATTGGCAGACCAGGTAACAAAAGCGGCTGATGAAGTTTGTAATTTTAAGGCAGATTGTCTTGAGATTAAAGCCAAAACAGAGAGGCTGGCCGCGCTGCTAAGGCAGGCAGCGCGAGCGAGCAATGACTTGTACGAGCGTCCAACGCGTCGAATCATTGATGACACGGAACAAGTTTTGGACAAGGCACTTACTCTTGTATTCAAATGTTGTGCCAGGGGATTGAATCGGGTTTTCACGATTATCCCAAATGCTGCATTGAAGAAAACGTCACAACAGCTTGAGAATTCATGTGGTGATGTTCAATGGCTGTTACGTGTGTCGACTCCAGCAGATGATCGTGATGATGAGTATCTGGGGCTTCCTCCAATTGCAGCTAATGAACCGATTTTGTGTCTGATTTGGGAACAGATTGCAATTTTGTGTACAGGGTCGTTAGAAGATCGTTCTGATGCAGCAGCTTCGCTTGTATCATTGGCTAGGGACAATGAGCGTTACGGGAAGTTGATTATAGAAGAAGGTGGGGTTGCACCATTGTTGAAATTGGCTAAAGAAGGACGAATGGAAGGTCAGGAGAACGCGTCGAGGGCTATTGGTCTTCTTGGTCGAGACCCTGAAAGTGTTGAACAAATTGTGAATGCTGGTGTTTGTTCTGTGTTTGCTAAGATTCTAAAAGATGGGCATATGAAAATTCAGGTTGTAGTGGCTTGGGCAATTTCAGAATTGGCTGCAAATCATCACAAATGTCAAGATCATTTTGCTCAAGCAAATACTATTAGGCTATTGGTTAGTCATCTTGCTTTCGAAACAATTCAAGAACATAGTAAGTATGCTATTGCTACCAAACAACAGAACATGTCGATACACGCTGCTGCCATGGCACATTCTAATTCTTCTGGTACTAGCAAATTCAGTGACACTGGAGGTAAACTTGAAGATGATGACAATAGAACTCATAGTAAAATTCTTCATCCTATGGATAATCAAACAACCAACCAAATGCATAGTTTGGTTACGAGCGCAATGGCCTTGAAATCCCAGGCACAGAATCAGCCCAACAATCCTATATCAAGTCCAAATCAACAGCAGCAGCAGCAGCGACGAAACCCGAATCAGCAGAGGAGCCACCATGTTGGACTGACAGGGACTAGCATTAAAGGGAGGGAATATGAAGATCCTGCTACAAAAGCTGAAATGAAAGCAATGGCTGCCAGAGCACTTAGGCATCTGTGTGCAGGAAATGTTAGCATTTGTACTCATATTACAGAATCCCGAGCTCTTTTATGCTTTGCCGTTTTGCTAGAGAAAGGCCCTGATGAAGTACAATATCATTCAGCCATGGCACTTATGGAGATCACAGGTAAGTGTATCACATTTAGCAAATAAAATTTTAGCCCGCCTAATACATGCGTTTATAAATCAATGAAAAGTGAAGGTTGGATTATGAGCCATTATTTTACCTAACCATGTTATTGATTGAAGGGAATCCGTTTTAACCCTTGTGGATTTAGCTCAACTCGTTCATTTGACACTCCTATATGCAGGAGTTGCTGAGCTAAATTCAGACTTGAGACGTGCAGCTTTCAAGCCGACTGCACCTGCTGCCAAAGCTGTGCTTGATCAATTTTTGAGAATTATAAACCTGGAAGATTCAGAATTGCTCATTCCAAGCATCAGATCTATAGGCCATCTGGCCAGGACCTTTCGAGCAACGGAAACCAGACTCATTGATCCATTGGTGGTTCTGTTAGATGATAGGGAACCAGAAGTAACTAGGGAAGCTGCAATTGCACTGAACAAATTTGCTTCCTCTGATAATTTCCTAAGAGTAAATCACTGCAAGGCCATAATACAGGCAGGAGGTACCAAGCACCTAGTTCCACATGTTTACTTTGGTGAACAAATGGTTCAGGTTCCTTGTTTGATTCTCTTGAGTTACATAGCAACACATGTTCCTGATAGTGAGGCATTAGCTGATGACAACGCACATATAGTGTTGGAGTGGGCTACAAAGCAGGGACACCTAATGCAAGATCCTACAGTTGAAGAACTAGTGAACCAAGGCAGAGAAAGCATGGAACTTTATCAGTCCAGAGGCTCACGCCTGTGAACCTATCCATTTGTATAATACATCCCAAATTTAGGTACTTCTTTAAACTTCCCTCTTTCAATTATGTTGGGAGTGTATACAATATCTACGAGGATCTGTGTATACTCTACCCTCCCTAGACCCCCACAGGTGGAATTACAATAGGTATGTTGTTGTCGTGTATACAAGATTAACATGTTAGTCAATGTACAATGTTCTCTATGTGAGTCTGATGCAATATGTTTTCTGCTTTTACCTTGAGTTTGATTCCAATTATGCAAGTGTTATCATGGTTTAGGTTGAAACTCGAGGCCCTCTTTATCATGGACCAAAGTTGATGATATCAAATGTGTTAACATAAACAAGACGCATCTACCAAATCGAAAAGGAAATAGCGACACAGATACAGATTAGAATTCTTGGAGCAGTCCAAGACGCTGGTTAGAGATAGGTAATCAAGACACAAATGAACAAAACTGGTAGGTTTTGATCCTGAATTCAGTTTTGCTGCAGTCAAATCTTTGTTTGATTCATTTCTTTTTCCTTGTTTGCATATAGTTTTACTTTGGAGTTGGAGCAATGGCCAGGATGGTTGGATTCGTGACCTCTTGATTACTGAAAATGTTACCTCGACATCTTTTTAGAATACTCAGATGTAATTCATTCCCACTTTTTGTAACTCGCAATGTGAATATGTCACATTACGCTTATACTGAATTTTGCACTTGTACTATAGTTAGATCATGTACATTTACCCCATGAAAAAAAGTTAAACTTGCTACTATGGCTCATACTATTACGACTTAATGGTGTTATTGAACTAACCATAAATGATTCTCCAATCAAATATTAAACGTCAAAAGTAAAGATCTTGCTTTTAAAATTCCCTTCAATACGTAGTCAAAAGTTATTCCATAGCTAGAACCACTCAATAAATACCTCTCCAGCGAATAGAACCTTATTCAAAAACAGCATAAAAAAACAATGGTACATAACCATTTTATTAAAGCCATAAACAAAAGAAGTAACAAGTATGTCACAAGGGGTCATTTCCAACATTAACTGGAGATCACACACAAAAAGATCCATTTCAATGAACGTAATTAAGCATTAAATAAAAATGGATATGAAACTACGAATTGAAGAATTAAAGAGAGAATTAAGCAGCAGCTTATAAATTGTTATTGCTTCGAAACCATGTATGTTTTTACTTGTACAGAGAGATCCATTGCATCATCATCGACAAAAATAAGACTCCCCAATACTTAAAAGCTTCAAATGAAAGGAAACTACTAAAGAGCAGAAAATAAAAACCATAAGCCACGAAACACTACAGATAGGTACCAAAAACAGAACGTAAATGATAAAACATAGCAGGCATACAAAGCCACGATCACTGGCCACCACTGGTGCATTCACGGGCAAAGTGGCCGTCCTCTCCACATTTGTAGCAACCACCACCTCGTCCACCACCACCACCGCCACGGCCACCGCCTCCTCGGCCACCACCTCCGGAGTATCGACCACCACCTCCGCCACCGCCTTCACTCTGGGTACACTCCCGAGCAAAGTGGCCTGATTCACCACACTGATAGCAGCCGCCTCCTCCACCACCTCTTCCACCGCCATAACCACCGCCGCCTCCTCCATAGCCACCGCCTCCACCGTATCCACGGTTACCTCCACCGTACCCACCTCCGTAGCCACTGTCTCCATCACCGTATCCACGGCTTCCACCTCGGCTACCACCATAACCACCGTCTCGGCCACCTCCGCCGCCGCCAGATCCTCCAGAGACCGGTGCTCCATCAGGCCCGGTGACATCAACAGCCTTGCTACGGCCATCATTGCCGGACTCAATCACGTACTCTACTTCCTCACCATCAGACAGGCTACGGAAACCCTCAGATCTGATTCCGGACTGGTGAACAAAGAGATCGCTAGAACCATCTTTAGGAGTTATGAACCCAAAGCACTTCTCGTTACTGAACCACTTGACGATTCCCTGGCACCTCTGTTCTCCCTCATCCGCCATTTTTCTACCTCACAAACAGAAACCCTAAAAACCCTTAGTATGTGTTCCCTTTGGAATTGTCACCGTGCCCTTTCACAACAAGGGGATGCCTATGTTATATACTAATAACCTCACTGCCACCTTGCTGGGCCCATCAACACAGTTGGCCATAAGGTTAATTTACAATAATTTCATATAAAAAAAACAAACTGTCAATTAAATGTTTTACTAATTTTTCAAATTATATATTTATTTATTTATTTATCATCAGAATATATTCTCATACTCATTTAAAAGGCAAGTTATCAATAACATATTTAATAAAATTTCCCTAATTCATTTATAGAAAAAAAAATCTAATTTTATTTAAATCATAATAATTACCTCTCTCTTTATTCTCCTTTTTTTGTTTCTTCTTTCTTCTTTTTGTTCTTTTTTGTTGATTTGTTTTCCTTAAATCATATTATTCTTTGGTTATATAATGGGATAAGGGTATGAAAAATATCTCAACTTTGATCGAATTTGCTGTTGTGATACTAAACTTTCATGACGACCTATTACCTCCTTAGACTATTTAATACCGTATTTTAAACATATATATTTGTCCACGTGGACATAAAAAATAATGTAAAATTATAAATAGTAATATGTCCATGTGGGCACATATATACCTTTAAAATACACTATTAAATAGTTCAGGGGGTAAAATATACGGTATTAAATAGTTTAGGGAGGTAATAGGTCCTCATAAAAGTTTAGTATTGCAACAGCAAATCTGACCAAAGTTGAGACATTTTTCAGACTCTTATCCCTTATATAATCTGACTCATATATATTTTTACTTTTGACTTTTTTTTTTTTTTTTTTTTGACAACTCTTTTGTCCTATTTCATATATAGAATTTTGCTTTTGTCTTTTCATTTTTATTTTTATTTTTATAACTCTTTTGTCCTATTTCATATATATATATAGGCAGTTTTTGACAGAAGGATAGGAAGGCAATTTGGAAATTTTACTTTATATATTTCTCTGAATTAAAGAGTACGAAGTGCAATTAGTTTATACTATTTTATAAAGTGCAAAATTGCTTACTTTGTAATAAAAAAAACTACTACTAGAAAATATTTACATACAGCACATAAATAAATAAAATATCTAGAAAAGTAAAGAAAGAATCAGTAGAGGGGTCACTATTCCAATGTGATGAGGTATAAAGTTGTTATGCTGTGTGTGGAGATTATTCAGCTGAAATGGACTTATCAGCCCAAGAATAATAACAGAGACCATCACTGGCCCAAATGGAATATGCCTCACTATTTGGATTTGAGAATTTCTCACAAATAACGCTAATATGATAGGGTGTATATGGAACGGGTTGATACGCATTATTCAAATATCAAATTAAATAATTTATGTAAAATTAAATTAATAAAGTATAGGTTTTTCAACCTAGAGGTTTTTTAATTTCTCATGTTAATGATTCATACAAACATATTATCAACCTCTAAACGGGTTGGTACGCATTGTTCAAAAACCAAATTAAATAATTTATGTAAAGTTTAAATTAAATTAATAAAGTATAGGTTTTTCAACCTAGAGTTTTTTGGATTTCTCATGTTAATGATTCATACAAACATATTATCAACTTCTACTCAAATATTTGTTTAGTCCTATCAAAATACAACTATATTTTTTTAAAAAAACATTAAGAAAATAGCACAAAACATGATATGAGTGATCACTAAACAATTTCAACAAATAATAATAATAATAATAATATTGGATGATAAAAATATTGAAAATAACTAAGTCATAATAAAAATTTTAGGATACTACATTATTTGAAAATAAATCTACTAAACAGTAATTACATGACTACATATTAAAGTAAAACTAAAATAAGGTTATATATTTTAATTGTCTAACCCAATTAAAATATAAATGGTTTCTTTTATATTAATATTAATTTGAGCTTTATTAGAGTTATTAATATAAATGGATTATATTTTATTGGACCATTCAAATTCTAAGTTAACATGATTATATATATTCTTTAAAAAATATATGAATTATTTATAAATTATATCAAAGTAAATACTTTTATCTGTAAAATAAATTTAAAAATTATATGTATAATGTTAGGTTAGTTTAGTCTCGTGTTGACTAAACAAAAAAGGCAAGTGCCTAGCGTGAAAGGTTGTTTCACCAAGTAAGATAAGGAAGATGCAAGAACGTAGCTATTGCGCGAAAGCCCTTTTATTGTTCGTTAGCGTATTTTGTTGATTTTTGAAAGGAGCAAAGCGAACCTTAAGCTCATTTTTTTCAGGCATCTTTGATATCTTAATTGTCAAACGCTAGCACCCTTTAAAAGTAAGTTTTTGCTATCATATAGATCAATACTTGTAGCTTGATTCTTATTTTATTTTTTTCTCAATTTACGGTTTAATACGATTTTCAATTTGGTTGCTTTCTCCCCTATTTACCGTGATAACAGTAAGCAAGTTTGCGAACCAAATGATAGCTCCTTGAATCGGAAATTTATGGAAAACAGTTATTGTGATTCGTTTAAGGTTTTTATACTCTTAATATACCAATTTATTTTAAAATTAATCAATTATCTTCACATGAATGGTCGAATCAACAGGCAACAATAAATTTAAGCATCAATATGAACTATGAAAATAGAACAAAAAATTGCACATCCATTCACTTGAAACATACAAAATTGTACATGTATTCATTAGAATTATATGGCATACAAATTGCACAAACAACTCCTCTAAACCTCTCTTGTGATCTTCATTCTTCACTCATCGTTCAACACATATTTTTGTCAATTAAGAGCCTAGAACCCTCTTAACCGAGTAGTTTAATTTCAAGCATGAATGACAAAGAGCACATAGAGAGGGAAAAACTGGCTTGCTATCAATTAGTTAAAACTCCAAATGAGTTAATTTGATGGAATGAAATATGTCATGCTAAGACTGATTACCAATTACAAATTTAACACACAATCAATAACTCTACCATTCCACGAGATACACACAAGAGGATAAGTTTATTGGGAATATAATAGAGTCAAAAGTTATTCTTTGACTCAACCACTCCATTAATATATATTAGCGAATAAAACCAAACAACACTCGAGAACTATACCAATACAAATAACACTGCCTTCCAACAAAACACAAAACACGACGGACACAAAAAGGGTCAGTTCCAACTTTTTCCCATACATAAAATGAATTCATCTCACCTAACAAAATACTATCAAACATTACTGTAAACAAAATAACTCCATGGAACAAGTAGAAATTAAAGGGATAAAGAGTTTAGTAGCACAATAATTGATATTGCTTTCCAAAACATGTATGTCGACATGTACAGAGAGTATGCATTGACGCACCAACAAAACTACAACTCCCCAATACAAAAAGCATGACTACTAACAACTACCAACCAGTACAAAATAAGATAAAACAAGCAACACTAGAGATCAACCAGGCTAACAGTAACAATAAGTACCGGAAACATAACAACTTGAAAATAGCAAAAAACAAAAACACAGAGATCACGATCAATGACCGCCGCTTGTGCACTCACGGGCGAAATGACCTTCTTCACCACACTTGTAGCAGCCACCGCCGCCACCACCTCCACCACTGCCGGAGTACCTACCTCCTCCGCCTCCACCACCAGAATACCTACCTCCACCGCCTCCGCCACTGCCACCATCCTGTGGACACTCTCTAGCGAAATGTCCAGACTCTCCACACTTGAAGCAGCCGCCGCCACTACCTCCACCACCGCCTCCGTAACCACCTCCACCGCCTCCGTAGCCACCACCGCCTCCTCCATAACCTCGGCTACCACCTCCGTAGCCACTGTCACCACCTCCATAACCACGGCTGCCTCCTCGGCCTCCACCGTAGCCACCTCCATCCCGACCTCCTCCTCCACCTCCACCGCTACGAGAGCCTCCTTTAACAGGCGCTCCATCAGGTCCAGTAACGTCACAAGCTTTAGCCCTACCATCTGAACCAGACTCAATCTGATACTCAACCTCCTCACCTTCAGCTAGGCTACGGAACCCTTCAGATCTGATGCCTGACTGATGAACAAACAGATCTTCAGAGCCATCTGAGGGAGTGATGAACCCAAAACCTTTCTGGTCACTAAACCACTTAACGATTCCCGTCAGCCTCTCACAACTCTCATCCGCCATTTTTTCTCCTCACAAAAACGAAACCCTAAAACCCTTTTGAGTGTGTTCTCTTAGAAATTTCACCGTGGCCTATTTCATGAAGGGATGGGTCACCTATATAGTGTGAGGCTGAGTGCCACGTTTTGTTTTGGGCCCAGAATTTAGTGGGCCATGATTCTCTTCCTTTAGTGTGCTTTGGAGAATTAAATCGACGGTTGGAAATTTACGAGGTGAACAGACGGTCAGGGTCTCAAGGTTGGAAATAGATAAGACCAATGGTCAAATTTCAAAATAGTTTGACGATTTTATCTTCCTTGTTTTACTACATATAACTGTAGTGCTGAGGATAGTATAGTCATTCGGACATTTTCATGCAGAAAACGTTCCTGTTCCTTCCTTCTGTGTAGCAGACTAGCAGTCAAAGAGTTGTCATTCAAATACTCTCTCTATCAATCAAATTGATTAAATTTAAATTTATATATTTTATTAAATTTGATTTTTGTAGAGTAACAAAAACATTTTTAAAAATTCATGAGAATTAAATTCAAGATCTATAATTAAAGTTAGTGAATTTCTAATTATTCTATCACAATTCATTTTCATCCCTATCCAACGATGTCTTCCTATCCCACCCATTCATTTTATTTTATACTAAATATACTAAAATGTTTCTATCAATGAATTAATTTACGAAATATGGGTTTTCCATTTAAATGAAAGTACAAGTATATGTTTTATGTTTTGTATTTAATGCAATGGTATCAATATAAAATATCTAATGCGATGGAGTAGTATTTTATGTCACCGTAGACCGTACTACAAATTACTCTCTTCTTCACGTTTGCTACAGTTTTTCTTTTGAAGTAAAGATTTTTTTTGTATTCAATGAAATTTGGTAGATTTAACACAAATTTCATAATATTAAAAGCTAATTACATTTTATTTCTACTATTTTTCAAATTACAAAAATCTCTTAAATTTAGTGAAGCTAATTACATTTTATTTCTACTATTTTTCAAATTACAAAAATCTCTTAAATTTAGTGGAATCGGATACATCCCAAAACATCTTGATAAATCACGTCCTAGTTTCTAATACATCCCTCTACAGCATAATAACATCGTGTCTCAGTTTCGTATACATCACTCAACGTGATGTATGTGACTGATAAATTGCATAAAGTAGATATTCTTATAATTTTTTTCAAATGACAATAAAATTTAGAGAATGTAGTAAATATGCAATATATTGATTTGTGTATAAAAGTGTGTATATATATTTGTATAACGATTTGATATATATATTCATATACATTGTTATGCAATATATATTCATTGCATTAGTTATATAATGTATAACGATTTGATATATATATATATATATATATATATATATATATATATATATATATTCATATACATTGTTATGCAATACATATGCATTGCATTAGTTCATCTTTCTTATAAGATTCGATTTTTTAGTCCTGACCTGTTCCTATCTCTTTTCTAAATAGTCCTAAATTTTAAATATGATCTCTTCTTGATATTTCAGTGCATTCAATAATTTTTCACTCAAAAACTTATTTCTTATTCATATGTTTTACAATCATTAAGTCTAGATTTCTTGTGTCGGGGGCGTAATCAAATCGTACAAAATTAAGTTTCTTAAAAACACCAATAAGGTAAAAATCTTTGAAAAATCAGCTCCAAGTTGAGGATAACTTGGAAGGGACTCGCCAATCTATGTAGGTTGTTGTAACTTGTAAGAGTTTAGTAGAGTTAGTTCCTACTTTTTAGTTTTCATTTTTTTTTTTTGTAATCTGAATATTGTTGAGATTCATTAATCCTACCAGTTTAAATTGGGACAAATTCTTTTCAAGCGTAGGTCGTGATTTGTTCAACCCTGTGAATTGAGTATTTTTCACATAAAAGTATTGTGTTGTTATTTTATTTCTCTTTACATTTTGAAAAATATGCAAAATGCTATAAATTAATATAGTCGATCACTTAGGCAAAAATCAAGCAGAACCCAATTCACTCCTCCTGTGTTATTAGATAATGCCAAATATTAACTTTCAATTTGGTTTTTATAAATTTGCGTTCTGTTAGTAACATTGTTCTATGTTTGAGTCCACTGAATTGTTTGATCAACTTTCACTACAAATACCAGTACTATATTTACAAAAATCAAATACATAGATCATAATTTGACTAATAATTTGGTAATATATTTGTATACTCTAATATAAGAAAACTGTTAAATAAGAAAATTAATATACGTTTGTACTCATTTGGACTATTAACCAGTCGTAGTGGGATCACTACATCATAATTTCGAGTTCAGATATTAATGACCTATTATTAGATAATCTTCCGGGTAAAGTTATAGCCGATTTATGGAAATATTTCCTTTTAAGTTAATTATTTAAAGTTTGTCATTGTTTTTAAAATTGTATAAATATAGATTTTGAGCGCAACAGAATGAGAAAATTGTATATAATAACAAACTATTAATTAAAATTAAATGTTATAAACATAGTTGATTTAATTGTACCCCATAGCAAACTGTTGTTATTTCGCTTCTCTCTTGGTGAATCTCGCTCGCCACTCTCGTTCTCTCTATTGCCTCTCTCACTTTTTACACAAACGCAAATATATAAAATGTGTTTGTATTTATATAAAACGAGAGAAAATTGCATATATACATATATTTTCGTTCCCCTCTCCCAGATCTAGCTCGCCACTCTCCCAGATCTCGCTTGCCAGTCTCTCCCTCGCCTGTTTCGCTTATACAAACAGAAATATATAAATTGTGTTTTTGTTTATATAAAGCAAGAGAAAATTATATACACACATGTAAAGACATATATATTCGTCCTATACATTTATAATTATACAATACAAATATTTCCCTGCCCAGTTCTTTTTTGCCTTTCCCTTTTTTCTCGTTTTATACAAACACAAATTATACAATTGATCTTTTGTATATGTATAATGAAATATACATATTTATGTTTGCTATGAAGCGCAATTATGCAAACTATAGCTATAGCAAACAAATATGATTTTTGTGTTTACTATATGTGAAAGTTGCTCTTAAATTTTTGTATCATAACTACAACATTTTAGTAGAGCTGTCAATATGGGTTGGCCCACCCCATCCGGGCTAACCCATACAGGCTTTGAAATTTGACGGGCTAGCCCATTTCTTGTGTGGGCCAGAAAATGGTCGGCCCAGCTCGCAAGTACGTGGGCTATGGGCTTTGTCGGGTCAACCCTCTTTTCTTAAAAGTATATTTTTTATAAGTTTTTAAAGGGAAAAGGGCCTGATATACGCATCAACTTTGCCATTTGGAGTTGATATGCCTTTCGTTATGAAAGTGGCTCATATATACCCTTACCGTTATACAAACGGCTCACATATACCCCTACTATTACAAAATGAGCTCACATATACCCTTCATTTAACGGAAGTGAAAAAAATAGTTTTAAATTTATATTTTTTACTTTTAATTTTCTTAAAAATTATTTAGGGGTATATATGATTCTTCTAGCAAAGTTCAAGGTATACTTTAAATCTTTTTCATACATACGTTATTTTTTTACTTCTTTTATTACAATTATTTGAGTTTCTTATTTTTATTTTTATTTATTCTTTCATTCCTTAGTATAAAGAAAAAAAATTAAAACTATTTTTTTTGTGGCAATATTATAATTTAAAACTATTTTTTTTTTGTCTATATTGTAATTTAGATTTTGTATATGAAGAAAAAAATTTGGTCATCTATAATAAGTTTTACAAGAATATTAGTGAAGCATAAATAAATTTGACCATCAAAATAATAAATCTAAATTACTTATTGAAACAAAAAAAAAGTCAAAAAAAAAAATGTTTGAGGAGGATTAAATATACTCATATGGGATTATATATATATACTAGATATAAGGTTTTCGCGCCAGCGCGGGCCCAATATATTTTACTTCCTCCGTCTCATTTTATGTGAGGTAGTTTGATTCGCCACATAGTTTAAAAAATAAATGAAGACTTTTAAAACTTGTGGTCCAAAATGATTGATAGAAATTTGTATGACTGTAAATTATTTCATTAAGGGTAAAATAAATATTTTATAATCAAATTGTTACTTAATATAGAAATGTGACATTCTTTTGGGACTGACTAAAAAAGAAAGTAAGTAACATAAATTGAGAGTAGTTCTTTGTTTCAATTTTTGTGACAACGATGAAATTTGGAGAGTTATATAATTTTTTGTATGTGATTTTGTTAAATATATTTTGAAGTTGTTAATTTATTGTGATTTATAGCACTTCTTATATCATTTTCAAATAATATATATTACTCTTTCTGTTCCATTTTATGTGACGTAGGTACTTTTACGAAACTCAACTAAATTTCTTCTATGATTCTTAAATATTTTTAGTTGTTATTTTACTTTAATTTATGGTAATTTTTATTTTATTTTCAAACAAACTTCTTTTGTTTCAATATGGAATTAAAGAGTCAATAAAATTTCTTTTATGATTTTTAATTATGTTTTTTTTAATATCTTATATTATTACATTGTGATTTTAAGTACTTTTTATATAATTTTTAAATCTAGAACAAATTAAAAGAAAAACAAGGAAAAATTTAAATGAAGAAAGTACTAAAATTTTCAAATAATCATATTTCTATATTAAAATGTTAAAAACTTGAAAACTCCACATATATGCAGAAAATTATATACGGAAGACAAAATAATTTTTAAAATATATATTAAAGCTCTTTCTAATAATATCACATATTTATTCTATTTTTCAAATAATATATATTTCTCACTCAATCTCAATTACGCAGTACATATGAAAGTTCGAGAGTTAATCAAATTTTTAGTACTATTTTAAACTATATTTTAGTACTATTTATATAATTTTCATTCAAATAATATGTGTTACTCACTCTATTATATTATGCAATACATGTGAAATTTCAAGAATTAACCAAATTTTTAATATTTTAAATTGATTTTTAGTACTATTTTTGTAGTAAATAGAGGAAGTTGAAGAAGAAGGGCAAATCGGTCAATTGACTGATTGACCCTAAGCTCCTAAACATTCTCACTTCTAAATGCAAGCACGGGCACAATATCCGTTAAATTGTTAATTATTATGATTTATAATATTTCTTACATTATTTTTAAAAAATAAATGTTATCTATTTTTAAATACTTTAAGTTGTGATTAATAATATTCTTAACGTAATTTCAAATAATATATGTTACTTCATTTGTCCCAATTTATTTGACACATGTGAAATGTTGAGAGTTAATATGTTTTTCAAATATTGTATGTTGTTAACTATTGTGGTTTATGGTATTCTTAATGTAATTTTTCAAATAATATATGTTATTCCCTTCGTCTTAATTATACAATTCGCATAAAATTTTGAGAGTTAATCAAATTTGTAATATTTTAAATTTATTTTTTAGTACTATTTAAAAAGGAAATAATTAAAATTAATGAAAGAGGAGTGTATAAAAGTAGGTGGGCCATCTTTGTGATAGGCCAATGAAGAGTGTGCTTATTCACTCTTCTTATATAGTAATATTTTAAATAATAAAAAATTAAACCAATTTTTTTTTTTTCATTTACGTTAGAGGAAAAGGGTTTATGTGATCAATTTGTATATAAGTAGGGTATATGTGAGTCATTTGTATATAAGTAGGGTATATATGAATCACTTTCATAACGAGGGGTATATCAACTCTAATGACAAAGTTGAGGGGTATATAGAACCCTTTTCCCTTATTTAATTAAATTACAATTTGACATATTATCATAAATATCGAGAAGACAATATTACATGGTGTTAGTGTTACTGCTTGTTAATCAAATACACAAATAAAATTATCTTTATAATATTTATTAAGTTTGATTTCAAGTTAAAACATAAATAGTAAATATAAATATTAACCTAATTGTTTTCCAATGATCATAATAAAACACAAAAACTATGACAATATCCCATAGGTTACGGCCTATGTAGTGATTTCCTAGAAATTATAGGGACCTTTTATTTTATGTATTTCATATTTTATAAACATAATTTCTATTTAAATTGTAATATTTCAAACTTTAAACAATTTTTTAGTTTAGACTCTTGTTATTTTCAATACTCTATTTTATTTTTATTTTTTATTTGGCCCACTGGCCGGCCCTATTCATATTTATCCAGCCTCACAAATCGACAAATTTATTCAGGCCAAGCTAAAAACACTTTTCTTAAATGGACTCCAAAAATAATAATCCAAACCTATCAAATTACGAATTAGACCAGGTTGACTCAACGAGCCTAGACCATATTGACAGCTTTACATTGTAGTATCTAATCTAACGTTTTGTCATCTAGAACTTGGATTCACAATATTCTTCAATTATAATTTCAACAAATAGGAAATTAAAAGTGGACCATACGATAAATTAATTTAATTTGAAGATGAGTCGAGATATTTCACATTTCTTTGGTCCCACAAGTGTAATAATAGGGGTTAGGAACAAGTCAAAACATGTAGTTGAAAAATAGGCAAATTTATATTCTTTATTATTGTTCATTTGTCACTTTCCAATCCATATCAATGTTTGATACTCTAGGTACGTGCCTTTCAACCAAGGACAGATAAAATATCTTGAAATTCTCATATCTAAATTGTTGTTAGTTTGCTGGAAGAAATTAATTTCTAACAAAGAAACTGAAATCATCTTCTTTTTTCTTTTAAGTAGAAGTATTTCATATCCCAATATTCACGAGTTATTAACGATTTCTCAAATTTCAGAATTCAAACTCGAAATATTAGCTAAGGAAATTGAATTTCATACCCTCCACCAAACCTTACATCATACACCAGTAAAGAGCTAAGCATAATCTATCAAAATAAGAAGAAAAAGTTGCAAATCTTCTCTAGAAATATGTTGCATACTACATTAATTAACCAACACTTACCAAATCCCCAAATCTCAAAACAAAACTCAAGACATGGGATTATGGGGGAGGGAATAGATTGTAGTGACTCCGCAAATTTACACAAAACAACCCATGCATCTTCATCTCCAACTCATAACGTCATGCCAATATTGGATCGAACAAACCTTTAAACCTTTTTAAATTTCCGTGACGACCTCATAGGTGGTGATGGTGAGTGATGTTGGCCGGAGATGGGCGTGGAGCGCCAACATGAGGGAGGAATGGTGGCGGGGACCCCGGTGGAGGTGGGCATTGGTAACATTTGGTGAAAAGACCAAATGAGTCAATTTGATGTATGAAATTGGTCATACTGGCCCAACCACCAAATCCAAACCCAACAATAAGTACCCAAACCACCACAAATATGTTTATTGTAAACGATCCAGCCCAACGTCCCACAAATTTTGGTGGTTGCTCTACCGCATTCTGCATAATATCAAAGTTTATATTCATAACACACCAAAAGTATAAAAGTCGAAAACATCCAACTACTACTATACTATGTGAGATGTGACTTAACTTTATTAATTCCTTCTTTTTATTCTCCATTGGTCCTTGTAAATCATAATATCTATTTTTTTTTTTCTAATTTTAAAGTAGAAGTATATGTAATAAAAATTATTGACATATTTAAGAGACGGGGCGTAATAAAGATTTGGTACCTCTCGGGCTGCAGCGGATTTAAAGGTGAACATGTAAGCAAGAGCCGGGATAATGTAGACGGTAAAACTAACGAGGAGTGAACCGACGGAGGAGTTTATAGGGCCGAAAAATGGGAAAACTATGGCCAGAAACCATATCGGAATAACCACCGGCAACCGCGCCGCTGCCCTCCTACACATGCTCTTGCATTCGTGCATGCCTATGGCCTTCTCCCATACAAAATACAATGGTGTGCAAGCGAAACCAAATGTTATAAACTGTAAAAACAACAACTCAATGTTAGATGTCGTATTTTTATTTTATTTATTGCTCGTTAAGATAAAGTCAATATTGAACAAGTAAAATTGGACGAAGGGAAGTGCCTGATGAATGAGCATGAGGATGACAGCCATGTCTCTGAAGGGTGATTTAGGTAGAAGAGAAAATGCATTAGAGTGATCAAGTAACAAATCACCAAATGCCCAATAAACTGATGCTGCTGATGGAAGGGTCAGTGTTAACACATAAAGAGTTGCCCATAAGTAAATTGCCTTAAACTTTTGGGGTTTCCACATAGCATGCATTATTTCTCTGCCCAAACAAAACACAACAATTAGCCTCTTTTAAAAAAAAAAAATTAACGGTAAGTGTATATAAGTTAAATTCTTGTGAAAAAATCTACTATCTCTATCCCAATTGATTTGTCATACTTTCATTATTAGTCTTGTTTCCAAAAAGAATTAGATAAATATCTATGACTTAGGTAAATTATTGTAATCAATTCGTCACATAAATTAAGATGCATGAGTAATAATATTTTAGATATTTCTTTCAATGTACCTACAAGTTTCTGACATATATATATGCCACAACCTAATACAATTAAATGCCTTTTACAGTTCACAGAAGCTAAAAATCTAGTTGAGTAAATATAAAGATTTATTTGCAGTCCCTTTCAATTTTCATATTTATGATAGGATACTTAATTATTTCTTGTTTCTTTTCCTTGGTTAATGGTACCTTTTAATTATGTTAAAAAACAGAAAAAAGGAACATAAAAGGAAGAGATGTTCAGAGCATTTAACCATTCATTGATTCAGTAACAAAAAAAAAAGCAAAAGTGATTCGAAAAAGATATTTTGCTTTTTAACTTAAAAAGGGTTCATAGTAAGTAATGACTTTTTTCTTCCCATGCCTGAAAAAGGCACTCTGCCAAATTGAAAAAAATAAATAGAAAAATGCATGTAAAAAGCTAAAGTAAAAGTTAACAGGTTATATGTACAGTTGTATGGAGAATAACAATAATAGTTTTTTGACAAGGATTGGTCACCCACGTAGTAAATGTTAAAGTTTTGAGGGAGTATTTAATATCTTAGACAAAATAATAATACTATATATACTATAGTCCGCTTCTTCAGAATATGTCGAAATAGTCTAGGTTAAGTCATTTTCACACAAGAATAATGTTGTGGATAGAGCTAATGTGGAGCGGCTAGTACGGTAAAATTCAATAGTTTTTACTCATATCTTGCTCCAATTTTAGAATTTTAGCCCCATTTTAAAAAGGAAATAATTTGCAATAAATCAATTAAGATGTCTTACACAGTAACAGCATGTCCCCCAAATGTGTAGAGAATGTTTGTTGCTCCAGTGAAATATAGAACCATTTTTGTTGGACCTGAATGTTTCACTCCCTCTACCTGTTTTTATTACAAGAAATAAAAAACATTAAAGTAGTAATTAAACATTTCAAATTACTAATTAATTACTCATGAATCTCTACAGATATGATAAATAGATTTCTTCACTGTTCACTTAGCTATAGTTAGGACCTATTCTTGCTCAAACTCTTGAACAACAGATACATGTCATATCTTTTAAAAGTAAAGCACGACAATATTTTTGAACTAGGTGTTTGTGACTTGAATTCAAAACTCTGAACACGTGATATATTCTTAATTTTAGTAACTTTAATGCGATAAAACAATAAAAATGGTAAATTTATATAATAGTGCGTGATAAAATTTAATAATCATACGATGAAATTAAATACCTGGCCATGAAGGAGTGATGCGACAGTAAGATACCAAGCAGTGTAAGTGGTCATTAATAAGCCAAGAAAAGACCAGATTCGGTAGTTGTGAAAAGATGGAATGAATACAGTAGTTGCACAACAAGCTCCGAATATATAAGTCCAAGTTCTTTTGTCCAAATTATCATTTATATAATATATATTGCTGCAAAATTACAATAAATTAATTAATCTCATTAAAAAAAAAACAGAATATACAAGGGGGCAGGTGGAAAATTTTAAAAAAGCAAACCTTGCACAGGCTATAAGTTGAATGACAGATCCAAACAGAAGAAAAGTACAATTAAATACCAAACCAACGTTCCTCCAATGTTTTCCAAGTAATCCATCAAGAACTTCAAACCACTGTACACAAAAAAATCACATTAAAAAAATTATTACACTAATACTATAGTTTAATCAGAATGCCATGTGAAATGTTGTCCTTTCCCTTTGTGTAAATTTAGAAGTAGTGAGACAAAATATCTAGTATTAACTTATATCTTGTCGGAGTGTCTCTTAAATTAAAAAAATTACCCCTTCGAAACTAGAAGGGTTTTTTTTTTCTTTGGTCAAGCGGTGATTATGAAAAATCCTGCGTACGCTACTTGATATGATTTTACCTGAATGACGTGGTTGCGGAAATCGACTTTTTCCCTTTCTTTTCTGGTTCTGTACTCAATGTAGAGAATGCTAATGAGATAAGCAGTCCAACTGCCTAATAAACCGTAAAAGAGTTGAAATGAAACGCCAGAGAGCATTCCAAGTTGAGAAAATGAGTATGGTAGTGTTAATAGCACTTGAGCTACCTGAAATTAAAATGAAATTTTTAATTACACATTTATACTTTGCAGGGATCGTATTATGGAATTAGTACCTGATTAGAAGCACAGCTAAACCAAGCATCATAAGCAGAGCCACCATGCCAGAATAAATTAGAGAATTTGGATTTGATGTCATTATTATTATTAGGCTTTCCTTCACTCTCCATTTCAACATAATTTCCTACTATCACTGTTTCCACTACTTTGTCTGTAGATTCCATCTTTTTTTTTCCTTGTGCTTACTAAAAAAATGTGTGGTATAGCGAGTTTAGTAGTTAAAACAGAGTTGGATGTTTAGTAGGGAAGCATAGTGGTGTATGTTATATTTATATTGAGTGAAATGAATGTTAAAACAGCTTTGTTGGGTGGGCCTTGTCCACACACACTTTTCTCAACCTAATTCTCCTTTTAGCTTTTGTTTTTCAAGAAAAAGAAAAAAAACGAGGTCGAAGAAAATGGGAAATTGGTGTTACGTTCTTTGAAGGATGAGAATTCGTGACTAGAGTTAAACGATTAGAATGTGGGCACCTAGTTGTAACTTTAAACTACAAACACTTACCATTATTTGATTGCTTATCAGTATCTACATACTCCTTATTTAGTGATAGAGTCAGAAACTTCATTAAAATATTCAAAATATGAAAAGTCAATACACAAAATAAATTAAAGTTGATTTAACATTTACTATATAAATAATTTTGACCAAGGTTAGATACAACAGAGCGCCGGGTTGTTCACCCAAACTCCTTTGGCAAAAATTTACATTTTAGATATGTTAATATAGATAGATAGATTTTGAATCCACTCAGCACAAGATTAGATGGTGACTTAGTGATTTACAATATTTTTATTTTTTCGAATCGCCTTAGTGAAAATTTCTGAATAAGTCACTACTTTTAACAATATATAAATATTAATAATATTTGACCAGAAAAAATTCAAATAAAATTCAAGTGGAAGATGGGAGTAGAGGGCAAGAGTAACGGTGGGGATAGGGTCTATGGCGTTTTTGAAGGGTGGTAATTTTCATGAGTAGAGTTAAACGATTAGAATGTGTCCACTAGTTGTAACTTAAAACTACAAACACGTACAATTGTTGAATGCTTTTTTTTCTTTTTAATTGACAACTATTAGTCTATTACATCTTGGTTGGATGGTTGTATTCAATAGTTTTATAATATATTATATTGTATTTTATTATATTAGTATATTATATTATTTTTGATGAAATAAGGCTTGGTAAAAAAAATGTTTATAAGCTATTTCCTCCCCACTCACTTGTCCATTTTTTAATTATTTAGGCTTAGAAATTCAAGAGATAATTTATTATTTTATATTTATTTTATCCTTATGAGTTATTATTAAATACTACTTTTCATTATCCAACATTTAAACTAATACTTATACTAATTAGGAGTAATATAATAATTATTTTTTATTTAAAAGAGTATGTCAAGTTAAAAATAAATGAAAGGAGTACAAAAAACTATAAATTGAGATAATCAACTTATGTTGTTTATCTGATTTTAACTTGTAAGCACTTTGCTTATAAATTTTTTAATGTTTATTACTATCATGTTCACTTTTAATTGTCATGTTACGCTTTTTGAAAGTTAATTTGATTATTTTTTAAAATTAATTGTAAATTTTTGCATATTAATATGATGAAAAAATACATCGTAAAATGTTAATCAAAGTCCATATAATTCGTCTCTAAAAAAAAGAAAACTATGTCAATTAAAAGTGAACGAAGAGAGTAAATGTTAAAAAACCTTAGTATTACCTCTTTGAAGTTACAAGGGGTGTGTGTATAAAAATGTTGGTTTATAGCTTCCAAGTTGAAACAGTTCAACTTTGCGAGCTTTGACGAATACCCATGTTATTCGTGCCCAAAGCAATTGTTCCTATGATTAAATCTTTTTATTTAAGCAAATTATTTATTAATTAAATAAAACATGATTAAAATTATTGTCTTTTAGTGCAGATGCTAATGTAATTATGGGAGCGTGACTGGCTTCTTTGCACGAGTGGGTTTCTCTTCTTCCCATGGATTAATTTAGCCTAACCTATGCTTTGTAATTGTATATTTTAAAATGTAAAATATCAAGTACTACTACTAAATACTTGTGCCTAAAACAGGAAATGATTTGCCTTAAATCACATTGTGATTGTACTTTTAATTATTCTAATTCTGTCTTTATCTGATGTGATAATGACGTCAAGTTCAATGTCATTAAGACTAACCTCTTCAAATTTTTCTATTTTTGTTTCTCAAAAGTCAAATAGCTTGAATTTAGACCAGCATATAATTTTGAGAAGAAATATAATTTATCATTTTTTATGCAAAAAAAATAAAATATTTAAACATTAAATTAATTTTATCTAATTTAACACCGATGTTTCGTTAAGTTAGATCCTTAAAAACTAAATGTGATAACTATTTCAAGACAAAAGGAGTACCATTTGGAGTATCTTTCTTCCTTTCCTTTAAGAGTAATATAATTCAGTTCAATTTTTTAACTGAAATGTCGTATTTTTATTTTTCATACATAATCAGATTATTTAGAGTAAATGTCACATGAAATAACAAGTACACAACCTAAGACAAAGTAGACTATATGTCGTTATTTCGTTATAAATCGAATTACACCAAGTATCCATGTAGATTTCATACACTTCACAAAGTTCATGTAGAAGAACAAGGAAAATAGTAGTAATAAAGAGAATGAGCCCACCACGGTGACGTAACAGATGAATCGCTCCTTTCATGATCAAAGGTATAAATTTGAGTTTTGAATTTGAAGAAATCCATAGTCAGGAGTGCTTTTTCCGACTGAATCCAATGTGAATTCAAGTAAGTCAAAACTTAATATAATACTAAGGGTAACGCTAAATGGCCAGAAAATTTGATTAGAATTTGATCAGAAATTTAAAAAGTCTATATAATATCCTTTTTATTTAAAATAAACTGATTTTTTTTTACATATTTTAATTAAAAGATAATAAAGTTAAAAGGTAAAAATGTTCAAAAAGATAAAATAACATAGTGTGAAATATGTTAGTTTACCATTCTAGTTTTCTGGTCAAAAGGATTTTTCCTGATATTAAACACTAAATAAAGGGGGAAAAAAGTTGAAAACGAGAGAATTATAACAAAATAGACCGTATGATTATCGGCGAAGGGGCGTGGTCGCTTTATAGCAAGAAGAAGAGGAGAAAAAAGCTGCTTTTATCACATGGCTTTGGGAGGAAAAAAACTTTATTGTCTCGAGAATTTCATTCAATCCATTGCTTCTTCTAAATTCATATTTTTTAAGTTACTACTGCGTTCGTCCCAATTTACGTGATCATTTTTCAATATTCAATATTCAATAAAAATATTTCTTTGATCAAACTTTCATGTTATGTCATTTATATTTTAGATGTTCAATTTTATGCATGAAGGTGCTAAGTATCTCAATTAATTAAGAAAATGAATCGTTATATTAAGCTCTTGAATTATTTTCACTTCATGAGCTAATTTTTACTATCTTTTTGCTTAAACGTCTCCTATACTATCTTTTTTTCAATTACGTTTATATATTTTATGTACCAATTACCCATAAAAAAAATTATGTTTTCTTAACACTAGAGTCTTCACACATTTTAGAGACATAAGGACAAACTTATTCTTTGAGAACAGTAAGATCATGTGCCTTTGAAACTGCGCTTGATCTTGGAAATTCCTCCCATCTCCTTTTTCCATCAATTTATTCATATGTTGTAGTAATTTGTTATTTAACTAAACACGCTTCTTAATTGGTACCAATGAATTACACGAAATTTCGAGTTCGAATCCTATTGGATACAAATTGTCTTAGTTAGAAAGGGTACTACTTTCAGAATGATTTTTCAGCACAAATTTAAATTTAATCAAATCGTAATACAAGTACTCGACAATTAGTTAGGAACCAAGAAAATGAAAGGCAAACACAAAAGCCTCAAAACCAAGACAAGAAGAAAGAATAAAAGGACAAATGCTTTTATCATATAATGAAACAGCAAAAAGTGTTAAAAAGTAAGCAATTTTCACCATTCCCTCAGAAAAGATAGGGGGACTAAATAGAGCATACTGATTGCTAGTGCAAGACAAAAAGAAAATTCACAAAAGAAAAAGTTCTTTAAATTCATATTTATTTAACCAGCATTTTTATTTTTATTTTTATTTAAAGGGCAAGATGTGTTTTTTTTTTTTTTATACTATTCAGTCTCCAAGAACCTTTAATTATATGTGTCTTCTGCTTTTTACAGAGGTCTTTTTGAATTTAAATGTGTCACCTAGAGTTATCATTGATAATTTGCAATGTTATGATGTTAAAACATAATGAGGTCAGATTTCTTTTAAATATATAAGTTTTGTGTAGTATTTCAATTGTAAATACTAGTACTAGTTTTCGAGATTTATGGTCTTTCTTTGTTTAAACAGTTTTACAATAAATCACAATTTAACTAATTGATCGTCAATATTCCAACAGTTCTAGATAATGAAGCATATCTGTTGCAATTGTCAAGGCCTTAAGGGTTAATACATAGCTTTATAGTAAGTAAAATAGTTGAACTTAACCACATGATATTTGTAAGATCACAAAAATTTACTCGTTATAACAGTAAAGTCACCTTTATGGGTATAGATTTCATCGGAAAAATGTCATGACTTCATTTTCCTGGCTAGTAGAGTTAAATTATTTTGACATAAGCAAAATACAGTTTTATGATTTTATTGTCATAGTGACAATACTATAGCAGTGAATTTAGGTCAATGAAACTGGGAATGGAATAATTAGTATGAGTAAATACATAAAAGTGATGAAGTGCAACATATTGATGTTAGTTGTTGGATAAAAGAGTGATAATTTTATTTTTGTCACGCTTTACAGACATTTATAATATTCATGGGACCAGAAACATTCCCTGAGTAGTTTTGTCCTACTTTCTTTCCTTTGACTGCTAAATTGTTCATTCTCTTTTGTCTTAATTTCTAGTACACAATTTTACACTATACTTCATCTTCCTCTCTATATGAAAACTTGGCTTCAATTTTGGCGGACAAAATTTTATCACTACTGGTAGCTGAAATTTCTAGTCGATGGCAAACATTTGTACGTAGGTTATTTGACGAGTACAACAACACCAACAAACTCAGTATAATCTCACACATGACGAGTAAAATGTAAAAGTTGATCCTAATTTGAGTAATTGTGGGGTAAACAAGATAAATTAACTAGTGTCATGTGATGAATACAACCTCATAGTATATTAT